GCAAGTGTATGGGAGCAAACGAGAGTGAGTAAGGTAGGGAGACAGTAATGGTTACTGGACCCCCATTTCGCCTCTGCCCTGAGTATGACATACTATGGAATGAAATACTCCCTTGGTCAGTTTGGGTCAGGTGCCTGAACTGTGTGTCCCAGCACTGCCTGTAGTGAGACAGCAAGAGCTGGGAATGCAACTGAAGTATCAGAAGTGGAGAAAGACCTTAAATTCAGTGCAGGCATTGCCCAGCGCCAGCTAAGATCTTATCAGTGCTGCTCTCTGCATCCAGGAACACAGCTTCCTAGCAGCCACAGTAAAGAGATTTAACTCTTTCCTGGCTGAATCCAGCATAGCAACAAATGGATTTAGAGAGGTGAGAAGAGTGAGGAAGCAATGAGGCAACACTAACCAGTGTGAAAATCTTGGTGTGTCAGCAGCCTGTATGCTAATACAGCCATATTGATAGAGCACAAGGGATCTTTAAAGAGGAATGTGAGAGGGAACAGAGAAACCAAGGCATAGATGGTGAGAAGGACCCTCTAAACCAAAAGGCACAGGAGAAGAGAAAACTCAGAGGTTTGGCAGTGGACAAAGAAATGTGGTGTTATGCTTTGACAGGAACTTTTAATAGGTGAGGAGAGATAGGAATAAGTCTGAAAATGAAGGGGAGTAGTTAATGTCTGATGAGGAAGAAGTAAAACAGGTGAAGTAGGGATGCCAAGAGTGGGATAACATGTTCAAAACTACAAAGCTGAAAAATAATCTTCACAGCAGCATAGTGGATGAATACAGGTAAGGCCAGAGAAAAGGATGCTGTAGGAAATAAGGCAAGTTCCAATGTAACTATATCTAGAGATGCCTGAAAGGACTACAGTAATATCCCACTTCTCTTAAACATGGAAATAATTCACTCTTTAAAGGTACTTGTCTTCTTCCTTTGTTTCTAGAGACAGTCTTGATATTAGTTACCTAAATTTAACCTTGTAAAATAAAATTAAGTCCCTCCTCCATCAGATCAACCAAACTAAAGATTTAAACACTACGTGATTCAAAGAACCCACAGGAAATCTGATATGAAAACACCACTCAGAGTACTCAATGAACACAGCATAAATCATACTGGGGGAGCAGAGGAGTGACAGAGGTCGTGAGACTGCATGAGGATGAAAATATTAAGAATTCTGTTTTGATTGTATGGAGCTTAACTTCATAGTTAATCAGGAAAGTTTTAATTTTTTTTTTTAATGTTAAATACTTGTTTTCTTGTAAGCATAAGGAAGTTGGTCCAAAATACTTGGGATTCATCACTGACTGTCTAGAGAAGGGCACAGGAATGTATTTTATCTTCTGTTTTATCAAGATCCTTTACCCTGAGAAACTAGACTTCATCTGGGACAAGACCAATTTTCTGAGACAATTCTAATCAACACACTTCTGTACAGGTGCCAAAATGCAATATTTTAATATTCATTTTAATTTCTGTTTTGTATTGGTCCTGACAAAACATTATCCTCTATACAATGTGTACCTAGATTTAGTCACCAAATCTGAGCTGTAATATACATACCGACACAGATGTACATATCTTCCTCATCTTAAATGTGTGAGTGGATTTGGTGAAAATCGTTTTCATATGTGGATTTTCCTGTCTGTCCTGGAATTTGGAAGAATTGCATTTGAGTATCTAGTACTTACTGACTTTGAGGTACCGTGTTCCAAATGATTAATGACTGTTTCGTTTAGGCTTTCCTTATCTCTTCATCATAGGTATTACAGACCAATTTCCAACAAATTGTTTACTATGTTAACCTGATGAAGATAAACTTTAACTTAACTTAAAGGTCAATACTTCTGTTTCAGGTGTGAAAAAATAACTGGTTTTTCCAAGCATGCAATAAAACATGCCTTTCTCAATTGTGCATGATTCCTCAATTAAAAGAAGTGATTTTGCCTGAAGCTTCTTTCAGATCTGATGTCAGAATGTCAGGTTATGCTACTCAAAGAAATATTTTTGATTTAAAGGATAGATCAACCTTTTTCTTTTAAACTTGGGAAACAAGACTTTCTCAAGGTTACAGCACTTGCTTTGTATGCATGGACTGACATTTTGGAAAACTGGTGTGGTCCCCTTGCAAACACCTCTATTTAATCCTTGTTCAGTATCTCAGCTCTTTCCACATTATTAAATTTATGTTACGTTGATCGGTAGTGAAGACTCTGCATTTATCATCAAGGCCTCAGAACTCCTTAGTTTCTCATGAGCCAAGACTAAAACAACCTGATTTTTTTAACTTCTGGAGATATGCTTGTTTTATGTGTCTTTAAAGAACTAAGAAGTGCAAGGTTCTGATCAGTCTGTTAGAGTTCTCTTATTGTTACAGGAAGCTAAATAAAATCTTATTTTTGATTTAAAACTGTACAACAAGAAGAAAAGAGCATAGATGTTCTTACTGTTAACAAAAGGAAAAAAAAAGGCACAATGTCAGCTATGAGTTTTACTTTCACTTGTTACTTACTAATTTAATACTCCAAAATTAAATGTGCCAGTGCCAAAATTACTGGGTCTGAGTACTTTTTAATTGATCTCTGATAACAAGATTACATAATGCACAATGTGAAGCAATCTATTGTAAGGACATCCTTAGAACAATACATACCATAGTCTCTCCTGCATATTCAAAACCTGGTTCAAATGTTGTAAGAGACAAAAATCAGATATCTTTTAATCTTGCCAGTAGTAATAAACATAGACATTTCTATAAAAGAGAGTTAAGAATTCTGGGTTTGTGAATGGATCTTGATTATTTCAGACCAGATAGTTTTGCCCTAAATTGTCTTGTGCACTTCAACAAGGACTTATATCATGCTTTTGAAACTTTTCTGTTCAGATTTCCCCATGTGGTATTTTAGATGATGAAGTCCTGGTTTGGGTCTTACTTTAGACATTGTTATTTTTCTACAGCAAACATCCTTCATTAATAAATTAATACAGTCATACTAGAAAACAATGAAAAATGTCCTTATCGGAAATTCACTTAGTTCTAGGAATTTGTCCAGTAAGATAGGTTTCAGATGCTCTTCAATTCCCATTTCAAAATTAAAGAGGTGAGGTAGATGTCAAAGAGAAATTAACTTTCTTCAATACCTGAGATTGTTACAGAGAGATCCTAGTACAACTTGTAGACAACTAAAACAGAATTACATGAATTACTGTCAAACTGACAGGGAATTTGCCACAACTGTGATAACAATAACAAAAAATTTCCTTTAAACAAGTCTAGCATTCCAAATGTACTGATTATAATTTCAGTCTTATTTGCTATTTGTTTCAGCTATTTATGTTTGTGTTTAAACAGTTCTTAAAATCATACTTCTTTATCCTTTGTAGATAATTTTATCAGGCAGTACAGCACAGCAAATATGGAATGATTTATTTACAACTACATAACTTTCCACCACAATCAAATCCTTCTAAAAAACACTATTCCTTTTTTTTTAAAGTGGGAAACACATTATAGTCTCACAGTCTTGCATACACAATTTTACATTTGACAATATAGTTCCATAGACATAGATGTGGTGATAGTGGACCAGCTTGTAAAACTATACATTGATAAAAGGAACCAGAAGTTCTTATGGCCACTCATCCTATCATTCTCCTTAAATCAGGCACTGGATTTGAATACACAACTCTTACAACAAACCTATGTGATATCTAAGAGTATATTTTTTATCTTAATTTAAAACCTGCAAAGCCCTGCAACTTCTACAGGTAGATTGTAGATGATTGTTGAGAACTGGGAAACCTTGATTTTCTCCTTTGTCCAGGCAAGATACAGCATTACACTCTCCGAATAAGCAACAAACATAATTGCTGGAGTACATGACATAATTTACACAAAATTGTTCAAATGCTTGTAACTAACTATACATTGTTTTTATTCCATGAAAATTGCCTGAAATAGAAACCTGAATTATGCAGTATTCCAGATTGCCCTCTAACTTAAAGCACACTTTAGAACATTAAGGTAAGCTAGGAAAATGAACATATAAATGAAAATAATGTTTAGAAAACTTTGCTGTGTAGGTGCTCTGTTCCAAAGTAAGAGGAAGTGTAGTACTATAATGTTCAGTGATGATAGGAAATACAGAAAAAAAATTCCTGATCTGTCAACTAGACTGCTGTTTGCTTATGAAACAATTCACCCATTTCCTGTATCTGCAGGGTAAGCTGAACTACAATGTTATCACTGGTGGTATATCTTTACTGACAATTGATGACTTAAAAAAAAATTTTTCAAAAAATTATTTATTATTTATTACTTAATTACAAAGTACCCACCATTGACTCAAAAAGGTACCACAAAATCAAGAATTTGGAAATTGTTAGGTACTTACCCCATCCTATCACAACGTATGTCTGTAGCAGTCGTCTTTCAGAGAGGACAACTGTTATCAGTAACGTACGCAAATAAATTCCTTCTACTAATAGCCAAAAATAATTTGCCCCAATGAAGTAATGCATGAAAAACTGGACAGTCCTGCAAATGATTACAATCTGTAGAAATGAGAGACCAGGAACCATTGTTAATATATAAAAGCTCTGACAAATCCTGGTTTTCTCTTTTTACTTCAGCAACAGTTTTCAAAACTAGCACATGGTTGTGATATAACTGTGGATCAGTCACATATCTCACAAGACTCTCCTTGCAGCTTGTGAGAGGCTGGAGGGGAGTGCAACAAATTAAAGGCTTCTACAGTGTCAGAGAGTTTGAGTAAAAGTGACAAGTAGGAAGAAGCAGAGACAGTGCAGGCTGGGGTGTCTGTTCTTTCTCATGATCTGTACATCAGAATGTTTATACATGAGCGACTAAAATAATTACCATTACCTACTAAAATAATCACCATTAACATCTTGCAAGTAATTTTGCTTCTAGACATGGTCAAACTATATTTATACAGCATCATACAAATCTAATTATCCAGAGTAGTTGCAAAATTGGTTGAGTTCACCTCAACAGCTTTCCTGATGACACCAAGCTGTGTGGCATGGTTGACATGCTGGAGTGAAGGGATGCCATCCAAAGGGACCTGGAGAGGCTGGAGAGGTGGGACCATGCCAACCTCATGGAGTTCAACAAGGCCAAGTGCAAGGTCCTGCACCTGGGTCAGGACAATCCCAAATACAAGTACAGGCTGGATGGAGAGTGGATAGAGAGCAGCCCTGAGGAGAAGGACTTCGGGGTACTGGTAGGTGAAAAGCTGGGCATGAGTTAGCAGTGTGTGCTGGCAGCCCAGAAAGCCAGCTGTGTCTTGGGCTGTATCCAGAGCAACGTGACCAATAGGGCAAGGAAGGTTACCTCTACTCTGCTCTCGAGGACCCCACCTGGAGTACTGTGTCCAGCTGTGGAGCCCTCAACATAAGAAGGATATCGACCAGTTGGGGTGGGTCCAGAGAAGGCCATGAAGTTGAGGGCTGGAGAATGTCTACTATGAAGAGAGGCTGAGAGAATTTGGCTTGTTCAGCCTGGACTCCAGGGAGACCGTATTGCAGCCTTCCAGTACTTGAAGAAGACCTATAAGGAAGCTGGAGGGGGACTTTTTACAAGGGTCTGTAGTGACAGGACAACGGGTAATGGGTTTAAACTGAAAGCAGGTAGATTTAGATTGGATATCAGGAAAAAATTCTTCCTGGAGAGGGTGGTGAAGCACTGGAACAGGTTGTCTAGAGAAGCTGTGGATGCCTCATCCCTAGAAGTGTTCAAGGCCAGGCTGGATGAGGCTTTGAGCAACTGGGTCTCCTAGAAGGTGTCCCTGCCCATGGCAGGGGGGTTGGAACTAGATGATCTTTAAGGTCACCTAAATCATTCTATGATATTATGATTCTATGAAATGAGACATGCTGTTATTCCTTTATCTAAACAAGTGTAAGAAAATTAGTACATTTTCCTAGTACAGAAAATCCTTTAAACTATTTTTCTCTCTTAGTATTCTTTCACAGGAAATACATTGTTTGATAACGATGTCTTAAAACAAGATTTGTCTGCATTGATTGTGCTATGCATACCAAAAGTGAATAAATAAATTATTATATAAGTGCCAAATATGTAGATTCTTCCTAAAAACTACACATGTAAGTCTTTTTCACATTTTTTTTCTTGATTACCCCAAGCATTATCAGCAAAATTTCAGTATTCAAAGCTCAGCTAACAAATATCTCAAAGCTTGCTGCTGTACAGCAAACTTCTGAAACTCTAACAGTTATTGCTTCTAACAGCAGACATTTACTGTTAGCAATGTACTAACAAATTACCTCAGGACTGAGATATAATATCCATCCAGTTTCATCATTTGGTCTTTTGGAATAAATATTGTAGTATACAGTGTCTTTTATAAGAACTGCTGTGGCACGCAAAATAAAAGATGCAAATAAATTCATATGGATGTAGTTTCTTGTGCAGTGAAGTTTTCTGTGGGAAAAAAAATAATTAATTAATCATCTGGAATATGTTTAATTTGCAGAAATAAAAAAACCCCAAAACTGTTGTATTTCTATTGTTGCCATCAATGGATTTTGATTAGAAATTGCTTTTATAATACTTACTAGGAAAATACAAGCCAAGCAATAAATTCAATTACATGGAAAAAAGAATGTGAGTACTGGGGTCTGCACTTTTAAAATGCATGCAAATTTGTACTAACCTGAGCAAAGAGAGTATAAGTAGAGCTAGTAGAAGTGAGATGAGAGAAAAATAATATCCTATAGTGTACAACAGCTGTAATGTGGTAAGTAATTTATGTTCTTCTTCCTAGGAAAAAAGGACAAAAATGTATTATACCTGCAGGCAGGCAGACAGATCACGAACACAACTCAGAGACTTTTGAGTCCCACTTCTTTGTGTTGCAAGGTAGTCAGGGGAGATTTCTGATGCCTGCTCCTTGCACTGCCTCATGAAACCATTGCATGACAGAGACACTTACAGCCAGCCTTAATTTATTTTTAATTTCGAAGGCACTCATGGTCTCATTTCCAGATTGCTCCTGCACAAACATCATTCTTAGTCTGGTTTTCAGCTAATCGTTGCTGTAATTACATGCACCAAATGGCTCACAGTTGTTTAATAACTGCAGAGATTAAGTCACTCAACCTTTACATGCAAGTGCAGTTCCTATGTGTGTGGTCTGGCAGACACAGCTACAAATCAGTTGTCTGTAGAATTTTGAGAGTCAGCTCTGTCTACCGTCATTGAAATAGACTGACTTTTGCAAAGGGTTCAAAGAAAAAAGATCAAAATTATTAAACTAGAGTTGTCTAGAATGTCTTTGAATGATGAATAAGACCTCAGAGGAGGAAGGGAGGCATTCACACTTTCTTTCCACTTTGCTTCATTTAACACTTCTTCCTGCTATGTTTTTCTATTTAGCTGCTTATATCTACCTCTCATCTCTTCATATTGCTTTTCTATCTCAGGAAAAGCTTCTCTGCAGAGAGGATGTAGAGATAGAGGATATGTGACCTTCATAATCCATATTTGGCCTTCAAAAATTTTCTTGGAACCTGTGTTTTTTCCTCAGTGATTTTGCTTTTTTCTTCATGAATTTTCTTACTGCTCAGCACCAGGGACCTTCCTGCCAGTGATTGTCTCTAATCAATTTATGTTAATGAGTTCTATCTGAATAGCATACATGAGCTGAGTCTGCTGGCAGAAACTCTTCTTGGATAGGGTGAAAGTGCCCAGGAGAGCAGTGTGAGTGCAAAGGATTCCCATAGTAGAGTCATTAGAGTTTAGTAAAAACTTAGTACTTGGGGATCCTGAACTAACAGTGATTAATAAAGTAATCAATAAAATAATGTTACTCAATAAAGTAATAGTAACAGTAACAGTGTCCACCCAGTAAAATATGAAAAAAGTAAAAAATAATCAATAGTAATGTTGTCTAAAGAAAATACTTGATGAATACAGAATGGATGGGGATGGCCCCAGGGGCAGGAACTTGTCCCCAGATCATCAAACCTTGTGTCTTGGTTTAATCCAAAAGCATAACCTCATGCCAAGAAAATTAACTCTGTCCTGACTAAAACCAGCACACCTTCGTAACACCGAACTGCTCTCAAATAGACAGTAAGAACCTCGAAAAAAGATGATAAATTTCTGCTTTCATATGTAAAGGCAGGAGTAAGGAATGACTGACTCATCTTTCACTGTGGTGGTTTCTTCTTTGTTGTTATTTGGTATATAAGACCTGGTTTATTTCTCAAAATTTGTGCCAGCTTTCCAGAGTTACCACCTAACACCTGTGCAGTCATGCAGTAAACAAGTATCTTGACTCCATGTGTGGATCAGCTTATTGCACAGAGTGAAGAACCCAGATTTGGGACAACGTTAAAGTGCTTACCTAAGAGAATTTTGACTTCAGGGAAGATGAACTCTGTGGCAAAAGAAATTGCAAGAAGATAAAACCAGATAAGCTGCATACTTTACTATTATCTGAAACTGCTGCACTCTTTACAAGTCACTGCTCAGTTTTGCAAGCAGGCAACAGGATCAGATCCCTGTTTCACAGCTTGAACTGTCCTTTACCTGAAGCCTAATTCTGGTGGTGGATGTGAGCTTGCTCAGTTGCAAACTGCCTTCTCACAGAGAACACAAGCCAGGCTTCTTTGCAGATACAAAGCAAGGGTGTGATTCCCAGCTTCACAAACCAGAGCTGATCAGTATTTATTTTCATTTTATCTTCAGTACAAAGAGCTGAGCACTGTCAAGATGAGAGTACCTATTTTACTCTTTATTCAGCTAGGGAGAGCCACTCCCCCCAGAGCTGACAGACCCCAATGCTTGGGCTGCAAACTCTACCACACTGGCGAGGATCGCTTTTGCAGTATGATGAATCTTCCAGTCTGCGACTAGCTAAATTTGAAAGAACAAATTAAGGGCTCATTAAATGCTAAAAAGCTCAGGAAGTGGCAGAGAATGAGGTTGTCTGGCCTTTGCAGACTACAACAATTTGGGGCAAATGAGATGCTTTGAATCAAAGTTATATACTTGTCAAGCTGCAGTCTATTTCAAATTTATTAAGAGAAATTCAGCAAATGTGGACACTGGACTCTGAACAGAAAATAATTTTTATCATCTAAATCAGGAATCTCCCTCCTTAATCTTTTCTCCTCTGCTTCTTCTAAATAAAATAATAGGCTTCCATTTGGCAATCTAAATTAAATATGAACATGTTTTGCAGGTACTCAGTGGAAATGTTCCATCAGTTACTCAAGAAAGGAATAAGAAGATTAAAATATTAAACCATAATATAAACCATACTTACTTTTTTTTGGAAATGATTTTTCTCAGAACATTCTGAACTATCACGCCAAATGTCTGTGGAGTTTTCTCTTGTTTGCCAAGTCCCTTCATCCAAGCAGACTCTGTATACATTTCCTACATTCCCTGAAAGTAAACAAAGGTTTTATTTGAAAGGTCAAAATGAAGATTTCATTTTCCATAGATGTTTTAAAGATTTCTCCCTTACACCATAATAGACACCATCCCAACCCCACTCAAAAAAGGAATAAAACCCACTTTTCTTTTGCATTTGACAATATGTTTTTTCATATTTACACAGAACAAAATAGGAATATAGTCTACCAGAAAAATATTTCCAGAATATACCTGGTATTTACAAAAAATACAGAGTTACTATATCCAAAAGAAAAGCATGCATCTCACTTTACTTCTTTTTCTTCATTAAGCTCATAAGTATGGGTGACACATTGCCCAGGCTGCACAGTCAAAATTGTAGGAGGAAGAGTGTAGATTTGTTGTCAAAAGAAAACAGTTAGCAGTCAATAAAACCAGGTTTCAAAACCAGGTGGGCTTGTGTAATTGATGAATGGGGGATGGATGGAGATGGCCAGACAATACGGAACTGTTAAAAGCACAGATGGAGAAAAAGAGTAAATAATTAAACATGGACAACAATTTTGTGCCTCAGTTCAGAAAAGAGGTGAAAAGAGGTGATATAAGAAAGCCCTCAGACACTTCAGAGGACACTGGGACAAGAGAGACCAGCACCATCTGTCCTTTTGCGTATTCCCAATATAAACGTGAAGAGGAGTTACCACTATCACATTACCGTTTTCCAACCATGGCAAATATGAAGGACAAGGAACAGAGACATTTCCTGGGGGTGAGTAAGGCCAGCAAACAAATTGATCAAATGTCCCATTACAGTATATTCCTGGTGAGAGAAGCAAATAGAAGTTTTACAAGAAGTTCAGACAATCATGAAAACTATTGTATACTGTTCCAGGTAACTTGTAAGCTACTGCAGAGTATTTACAAGATGTAGCAGATAAACTTGGTGCACTGTGCAATTCTCAGTGCATGTTGCAGAAATGACTGCTACCCTTTTTCCCTGGATCTACACAACAGTAGCAAGTTTTATATGCTTCATTGTGAGAAAAGGGTATTGCTCTAAATCATCCTGAGACCTCTGTTTTGCAAATGTAATACAGATTCCAGCCGTGCTGTCACTCACTGTTTTTGGTACATGACACAGATTATTTTTCTGGTAAATGGAAGATAGTCCACCTTTCATGATCCCTGTGACATCAGTTTGTTCTCAGTTCAGACCACTGCCAGCTTCTTGGATAGTGACTACTCTTAGCCTTTGGACAATAGAGGTTAGGGAGCTAGTAATATCTCAGACTAACTCAGTTTTAAGCTTCACGGGTATCACATCACTCACAAGAATTAAGGTTAAGATAAAACATTTGATAATGCAGAATGGAATTGGTGCAATCTGTTTACACTAATATAAAATAAAATGCATTATTTGCCACACTAGTCTATTAGTTTCTGTCTTCTAGGGTAAGCTGAATTTCTCCTCCCTTAAATTTAATGCTTTTGCTCATCCAAAACTAAGAGAGTATATCCTGGCTTGTTTTCCATAATACTTAGCAATAGTTAGGGAAAGTTGTGTGGAAACAATACAGGGAGAAACAAAGATAGCTGTGTGCTGTCTCACCAGCATCCCTTTGGGGTGCTTCTGCTAAAATACAGAGAACAGTATGTGCATTCTTAGAAATTACCTTGTACCTTTGAGGCTGAACATCTATAGACCCATCTGCCTTATGACCTGTATAGCTGTTAACATTCAGACCTGTATTTTTATCGTTCCTGTTCAAGCTTTTTTCAAGTGTGGATTGGGTAGGCTGCCAGAAGAAAAATATTTTTTTCTCCATTTCAGGAAAACTGGAGTTCTGAGTCCCTGTAGTTCTCCTGATCACCTGCTACAAACTACTGCCCTCTAATATCTTGCTATGTGTCACTGCTTTTGTCCTCCTGAATCATGTGGCTTAGTTCTAATTGCCACCCAAAGCCATCATTCTCTTCCTTCCACCATAATACAGTCTTCTTTTACATTGTGCTAAGGGTTTCTGCACACCAGGTTTTCACCAAAGGTCTTTGATCCAGATTCTCTTTATTTCTTGTCAGTTTTAGCTATTAGATATCTTGCAGATGCACTGGTTGGGCTGATCTGTGCTTTGTCTCTCTTGCTTTCTTTAAAAACTTTCATTCCCTCTTCAATCCAGAGGAGAGGAGAGGAGAGGAGAGGAGAGGAGAGGAGAGGAATTTCCAAAATTTCAAAGGCAAACAAAAAGAAAAAAAATGAAAGAGAGAGGAGAGGAGAGGAGAGGAGAGGAGAGGAGAGGAGAGGAGAGGAGAGGAGAGGAGAGGAGAGGAGAGGAGAGGAGAGGAGAGGAGAGGAGAGGAATTTCCAAAATTTCAAAGGCAAACAAAAAGCAAAACATTGTAAGATCATACTTTTCTTGGTACCTGTGTCCTGCCACTAGAAAGCACATGCCCAGAGATGATCAGACTTCCTAGATAGTATATTTTATTGGGGGTAAGAGTAACTCAGCTTTGTTATGCTGGCCATACATGCTGTTCTGATGAACCCTCTGTCACAAATACACCTTTCTTTCCGAGAAAGACTCCTAAACATTTCTACTGTGTATCTTCATTAGTAATTCTCTGACTTCTGTTCAGAAAGGTGAATGCCTTTGAAACCTTGAAGTCAGATAAAGACACAACATAGACAGAAAACATATAATTATATTGTTGGCATCTAGTAACAAGTATTATTTTCTCATCACACAAAAAACCAAAATGAAGAAGGGGACAGTGAAGTGGACAAAGAAGAACAGATAACTGCTTCAACTGAGTGACACTCTGACCCTTCCTGTATGTGCTCTTGCTACAGTGACTCTCCTACATAACATCTTGCATAGTAACCAGACCAGTTAGTTGCTTGCTTCAAAGGGAACAAGTCCAAAACCAGCTTACCTGCATTTTTTGGGGACCTAAGACAGCCCAGATGCATCACACTGATGGCAGATGTTTTGTTTGTACATGCTCAAATTGACACTGCATTGTAATAGAAGCATAACAAATTTGACAGAGGTAACAGCCTGGTTTTACTGCCTCAAACAGCTTAGGAATAAAAAATTATGTGCAACCCATGCAAGTACCTAAACTGTTGAAATTCTCAGATTCTAAGTTCTCACCATGGAAATGAATACTGGCAGAACTAGCTTTAAACATTTTTGATGGTTTTCCCCTTTGGCATAGTAGTACTAGAAGAAGCACTGAAATAATATTCCATGACATAAAATCACAGAATATTTTAGGTTGGAAAATGTCTTTACTATCAAGTCCAGATGTTAAACTAACACTACCAATAACAGCGCTAAACCATGGTCCTAAGCGGAACATGTCTTTTAAATACCCCCAGGGATGGTGCTGACTCAACCACCTCCCTGGGCAGCCTGTTCCAAAGCTTGACAACATTTTCTATAAAGAATCATAGATTGGTTTAGGCTGGAAGGATCTTAAAGATCATCTAGTTCCAATGCCCTGCCATGGGCAGGGACCCCTTCCCCTAGACCAGGTTGCTCAAAGCCACATCCAGCCTGGCCTTGAACACTTTCAGGGGTGAGGCATCCAAAACTTCTCTGGCAACCTGTTCCAGTGCCTCACCACCCTCTCCATGAAGAAATTCTTCCTGATATCTAAATCTACTCACTTTCAATTTAAACCCATTATCCCTTGTCCAGTCACTACAGGCCCTTGTGAAAAGTCCTCTCCCAGCTTTCTTGTAGGCCCCCTTGAGGTATTGGAAGGCTGCAATGACGTCTCCTGGGAGCTGCCTCTTCTCCAGGCTGAACAAGCCCAGTTCTCTCAGCCTTTCATCATAGGAGAGGTGCTCCAGCCCTCTGATCATCTTCATGGCCTCCTCTGGACTCACTCCAACTGGTTGATATCCTTCTTCTGTTGAAGTTTCCACAGCTGGACACAGCACTCCAAGTGAGGTCTCACAAGAGAAGAGTAGAGGGGGAGAATCACTTCCCTCGCCCTGCTGGCCACACTTCTCCTGATGCACCCCAAGATAAGGTTGGCTTTCTGGGCTGCCAACGCACACGGCTGGCTCATGTTCAGCTTTTTGTCCACCAGTAGTCCCAAGTCCTTCTCCTCAGGGGTCTGCTTTCTATCCATTCTCCACCCAGCCTGTACTTGTGCTTGGGATTGCCCCAACCCAGGTGCAGGACCTTGCACTTGGCCTTGTTGAACTCCATGAGATTGGCACAGTCTCACCTCTCCAGCTTGTCAAGGTCGCTCTGGATGGCATCCCTTCTCTCCAGTGTGTTGACTGCACGACACTGCTGAGTGTCATTGGCAAACTTGCTGAGGATGCCCTCAATCCCCCAATCCATGTCACTGACAAAGATGTTGAACAGCTCTGGTCCCAACACCAACCCCTGAGGAATGCTGCTCATCACTGGTCTCCACTCAAACACTGAGCAGTTGACAACAACTCTCAGTGCGACCACCCCGCCAGTTCCTTATTCAGTGAGTGGTCCATCGGTCAAATCCATGTGTCCAGTTTAGAGACAAGGATGTCATGCAGAATGCTATCAAAGGCTTTGAACAAGTCCAGGTAAATTACATTGGTGGCCTATCTTCTATCCATCTTCTATCTATTGGTGGATAGAAGGCCACCATATTAGTGAGGCATGATCTGCCCTTGGTGAAGCCTTGTTGGCTGTCACCAATCACATCCTTGTTTTCCATGTGCCTTAGCATCTTTGCAGGAGGATCTACTCGATGGTCTGGCCACACACAGAGGTGAGACTGGCTGGCCTGCAGTTCCCTGGATCCTCCTTTTTTCCCTTTTTAAAGATGGGGGTTATGTTTCCCCTTTTCCAGTCAGTGGAAACTTCACCAGACTGCCACGACTTTTCGAATATGACGGATAGAGGTTTAACAGCTTCTTCTGCTAGATCTTTTAGGATCCATAGAGGTATTCCACCAGGTCCCACGGACTTGTGCACCTTCAGCTTCCTTAGGTGCTCCTGAACCTGATCGTCTCTAACCATGGGCATCTTTCCATTTTCCTAGTCCCTGCCCTTGCCTTCCGTGACTTGGGGTGTTTGGCTTGCACATTTGCCAGTGAAGATCAACGGAAAAAATAATTGAGCAGCTCAGCATTCTCCATATCCTGTGAAACCAGCTCTCCCATTTCTTTCTGAAGAAGGCCCACATTTTCCCTGATCTTCCTTTTATCCCCTATGTACCTATAGAAGCCCTTCTTGTTGCTCTTAATGTCCCCGGCCAGGTTTAATCCTGTCAGGGCTTTAGCTTTCCTAACCTGATCTCTGACCTCTCGGACAACTTTCCTGTACTCCGCCCAGGCTCCTTGTCCCTGCTTCCCGTCACTGTAGGCTTCCTTTTTGCACCTCAGTTTGTCCAGGAGCTGCTTTTTCATCCACATAGACCTTCCAGTGTTTTTACCCAACTTCCACTTCATTGGGATACATTGCTCCTGAGCTTTGAGGAGAAGATCCTCCAAAGCTGGAAAGTACTCAGCAGTGCTTTTCATGGTAACCTGGAACTTGACCTTGTTGAACCTCATACATTTTCCCTTGGTCTATTGATCCAGCTCATCCAGATCCCTCTGAAGAGGCATTCTACCTCTGGCAGATCAACACTCCCACTCAAAGCTGGAGTACTTGCCAGCTTTCTTGGGCCCCTCTTCCCTCAAGGGCTTCATCCCATGGAACTCTCCAGTCAGTTCCCTGAAGAGGCCAAAGTCTGCTCTTCCAAAGTCCAGGGTAGTAAGCTTGCTGCGTACCCACCACACTTCCTTAGGTATCTCAAACTCCAGCATTTCATGGTCACTGCAGCCAAGGCTGCCCTTGAGCATCACCCTGCTATCCCCTCCCTGTTAGGGAGAACAAGGTCCTGTATGACACCACTCCTCATCGTCTCCTCTATCAGTTGGAGAAGGAAGTTGTCATCAATGCATTCCAAGAACCTCCTGGCTTGCTTGTTCCCTGATGTGCTGTCCCTCCAACAGATAGCGGGGTGGTTTAAGTCCCCCATGAGGACCAGGGTTTGTGACCATGAGGCTTCTGCTATCTGCCTGTAGAGGACCTCATCCACTTGCTTGTCCTGACCAGGTGACCTATAACAAACTCCTATTACAGTATCCCTTCTCTTTGCCTTCCCCTTTAATTCTGACCCCTAAGATCTCGGTCAGCTCCTCATCCATCCCCACTGGAGTTACACACACTCCTACTGTTCTCTGACATAGGGAGCAACACCCTCTCCATGTTTCCCCTGTCCTTCCTAAAGAGCCTGTACCCTTCCATTCTGACACTCCAGCTATAGGAGTCATCCCACCACGTCTCTGTGATGTCAATGAGGTAATAGCCCCTCATTTGTGAGCACGCCTCTAGCTCCTCTTGTTTATTTACCATGCTCTGTGCGTTCGCATAGAGACGTTTAAGGTGGATCCTTGATGAAGTTGCCTTGCTGACTGGAGCTTCTAGAATTCTCTTGTTTTGCCTGCCAGGTGCTCTCCTGGTGACTTGTCCAGGCTCTGGGCATCTCTTGGTACATTAGTGGTCTTGTCCCCTTCCCCTTTCAATCCCAGTTTAAAGCCCTCTCAATGAGCCCCACCAGTTCATGGGCTAGAAACCTCTTCTCCCTTTGAGACAGCTGCACGCCATCTGTTACCAGTAGACTTGGTGCCTTGTAAACCTCCCCGTGATTAAAAACGCCAGAATTCCAGTGTTGGTACCAGCCTCTGGGCCACATGTTGATCAGGTGTGCTTTCCTGTTCCTTCCAGTATTCTTCCGTGCGACTAAAGGGATTGAAGAAAACACTACCTGTGCTCCCAATCCTGCAACCAATTTCCCCAGTTCCCTGAAGTCCCTTTTCATGTCTTTTGGATTTCTTTCCACAACTTCATCACTGCCAACCTACATGACCAGTAGTCTTTAATAATGTGAGGTCAGTACCAGACCAGGGAGTTTCCTGGTGATGTCTCTAGCCCGGGCCCCAGGGAGGCAGCAGACTTCCCTGTGCGATGGGTCTGGTCAGCAAATTTTTCGTAATATCCAGTCTAAACCTTCCCTGGAGCAACTTGAGAACATTTCCTCTCATCCTATCACATGTCACTTTGGAGAAGAGACCAACCCCCACTTCTCTACAATCTCCTTTCAGGTAGCTGTAGAGAGTGATAAGGTCTCCTCTGAGTCTTCTTTTCTCCAGGCTAAACACATCCAGCTCCTGCAGCCGCTCCTCACAGGATTTGTGCTCTACACCCTTCCCCAGCTCTGTTGCTCTTCTCTGGACACGCTCCAGCACCTCAATGTCTTTCTTGTAGTGAGGGGCCCAAAACTGAACACATTATTCAAGGTGCGGCCTCACCAGTGCCCAGTACAGGGAGATAATAATTTCCCTAGTCCTGCTGGCCACACTGTTCCTGATGTAGGCCAGGAGGTCGTGGGCCACCTGGGCACACTGCTGGCTCATATTCAATTGGCTGTCAACCAACACCCCTAGGTCCTTTTTCACCAGGCAGCTTTCAGCCACTCATCCCCAAACCTTTAGTGTTGCATGGGGTTGTTGTGACCCAAGCACAGGACCTGGAACTTGGCCTTGTTGAACCTCATACATTTTCCCTTGGTCCATCAACCCAGCCTGTCTAGATCCCTCTGAAGAGGCATTCTACCTCTGGCAGATCAACACTCTCACTCAACTCAGTGTCATCTGCAAACTGACTGAGTGTGCCCTCAATCCCCTCATCCAGATCTTTGGTAAAGATAGTGAGGAAAACTGGCCCCTGTACTGAGCCCTGAGAAACACCATTTGTGACCGGCCACTACTTGGTTTTAACAACATTCACCACAAGTCTTTGGGCCCAGACATCCAGACAGTTTTGCACCCAGCAAAGACTATACCCATCCAAGCCATGAGCAGCCAGTTTGTCCAGGAGAATGCTGTGGGAAATGGTGTCTTTACTGAAGTCTAGGTAGACACATACACAGACTTTCCCTTATCCACTAACCAGATCACCTTGTCATAGAAGGAGATCAGGTTCATAAAGCAGGACCTGATTTTCATAAACCCATGCTGACTGGGACTGATTGTCTGGTTGTCCTGTACATGCCTCGTGATGGCACTCAAGGTGATCTGGTCCAAGGTCAGGCTGATAGGCCTGTAGTTCCCTGAATCCTCCTTCTGGTCATTCTTGTAGATGGACATCACATTTGCTAACCTGCAGTCAATTGGGGCCTCTCTGGTTTGCCAGGGCTATTCACAGATGATGGAAAGTGGCTTGGTGAGCACTTCCACCAGCTCCCTCAGTAGCCTTGGGTGGCTCCCATTCAGTCCCATAGACTTGTGGGTGTGTGAGTGGTGCAGCAGGTCACTAACCATTTCCTCTTGGATTATAGATTTTATTCTGCTCTCCATCACTGTCTACCATCACAGGGGCTGGGTACCTGGAAAACAATGGGTCTTGCTATGTGGCAAAGAAGGCATTAAGTACCTCAGCCTTTTCCTCATACTTAGTCAATATATTTCTCCCTGCATCCAGTAAAGGATGAAAATTTTTTTGCCCTCCTTTTGCTGCTGATGTATTTACAGAAACAATTTTTGTTGCCTTTTACAGTTGAGGCCAGATTAAGTTTTAGTAGGGCTTTGGCCCCTCTAATTTTCTTTCTGTAAAACCTCATAACATCCTTCTACTCTTCCTGTCTTGCCGGCCTCTTCTTCCAGAACTAATAAAGTCTCCTTTTTTTTCCTGAGTTCCAGCCAAAGCTGTCTGTTCAGTCTTCTTCCCTGCTGACTCATCTTCTGGCACATGGGGGCAGCCTCCTCCTGCGCCTTTAAGATTTC